CGGGGGGGCCCCGCCGCCCGCGAGGGGGGGGGTGGTTGGAGTGTTTTGGGGGTAAAAATCTGTTTCCAGCAGTAGAGGCAGGCCCGGGCAAGATGGTGGGACCCAGCAAAACGGGCTGACTCGAGCTCCAGCCAGGGCTGGCCCTTGCTGACATCGTCGTAACGCCAGCGCTACAGTATCTGTCAACAATTATGTGTCATGGGTCGTGTCCTGGGCTCTCCGATCATAATTTTTGTAATAAAAAATTGAAAAAAAACTCGAAAAATTTGAAAAAAAATACCAAAAAAATACTTTTTTTTCTTCTCTCTTTACCTTATTTCATTTTCAACATTTAAGTAAATGTCTTTGTCCTTTTACTTTTATTTATTTTTATATTACTCCATTTACTTAAGTTTACAATGTAAATAAGGAAGTACCCCCCCATTTGGATTCAAATAAAAATACTAGAAAATCAAATTCCCACCTAATCAAAATATGAAAAATTGGTTTTAGTGAAAAATACAATTTAGGCTAAAAATGATGGCTCATTAAGTCAATATATACTTCATATTAAAATCCCATAAAATCAAGTTTTCTTATTTGATGTGTAAGGAATAAAATCCGGCAAAAATTATCTTGAGAAAATGATTATTCCGAAAAATCATTTTTCATACTTAGTCAATATTGCACCTCCGCTAAAAAAATTCCGAGTCCGCCAGTGTCTATAAATACCAACCAATACTCTTCACTTTTAACACCAAATCCTCATACTTTTTTTTTTTTCTATAAATACCAATCAATACAACTATTAAAATAAAATCTTATCCAAAAATCTTATCCGATAAAATAAAATCTTGCCTTTCATTTCTTAGTTTGCTAGCCTTTCATTTCCTTGTGTTTTTTTGTTTTGTTTTAATAATTAGTGGTCATTCATGTATTTTATTTTATTAGTTGTATTGATTTATCTGAATTTTGAATTTTGAAATTTATATGAAATTTGAAACTAAAAATCTTATCTGATATGAATAGTATTGACACGTAGGAACCCAAAAATCTTATCCGAAAATACTATCCAAATCAAATGTTTAAGTACAAAACAAAAAAAAAAATTGAATAGTATTTGCCATGGCAAGCCTAAACTGTTGGAAACACACTTTGCTGGGGGGACTAGGGCAGCCACTATTCACATGAATAGTAGCCACCCTAAGGCTTCCCTTGACATGGCAAGGGGCTAACTGGTGGAAGTGTTCTAAGAGGAAGGGCACATGTACTAAAGCAAGCTAGCTAGCTCGAGATGATTAGAAGCCCTGGAGTTGGAACTGGAATGGAGGAAACAACTTTGGCTAACTCTCTACGCCTCCTCGAAGGGTGAGTATGTCATTCTTCAAACAACATGTGTTTTCCGTTATATTAATGAACTTCTCACATCTAGTTATTGCAATACCATTTAATTAAACTTTCTCATTAATTATAACAGCACAAGCAAAGAACCTTCTATAACGGAGTTGCACAAATACATACTTTCTCTCATCGCTATGCAAGGCGCACTCCTTTCGCTGAAGCAGCAGAGAGCCGAAATGGCATCTCTACTTGACATAGACGATCCAAATTTTGTGAGGATTAGTGTTGCCTTGACCTTTTTCAGTAGGGCATCAAATGGCGCTGCTTATATACTCGAAGCTCGCCCCAACTCAAATTGAGGAAAATTCATGAGCAGGCTTAGCTTCCTTTTTGGAGCTCTTACCTACATTTTGGTATTGGTGATCCTACTGCCGTCTTTAGAGATACCTGCCCTCCTTTTCTGGATCATTAGTTTTGTGAGTTTTATATCTGTTTCCTCGTACCCATACCTCAAAACATTGTTTACAGGTGTAGTTGGAGCCTTTGAAAGATTGCAAGAGAATGTCAAGAACATCATGCCCACTGCTTCACAATGAAGACGAGGAGGAGCAATCTGGACTGGCTTAGCCTAAGTAACACTTTTTTACACACATCTTCAGCAGCAACAATAACAGACTTCTAAAACTACTCGCCTTCAGCAACTACCCCCCTGTAATATTCTCTTAAATTGAATTCGTGATAGCAGATAAGACGCTTGGAAAATATCATATTACACCAGATAAGATAACTAGAGTGAGAATCTCCCTTGACATGTTCAATACAATCCAATAAGGGAACTTATTTTGGGCTACCAAGTTCTCGAATTTTTTCTTGTTTACCTAAAGTTCAATTTTTATATAAAGATAAACAAAATTATCATAACCTATGCCATTTCTGGTAACATAAATCCCAACTCATCCAACAAAGAATAAATCTCTGGAGCTTTGTGATGGAGCCTTCCACCAGCTATAAACTCATGAACCTCCCCATCCACTTCGATCAAACTACATCCCGGTTCTTTCTCTATCTTCTGCTGCTTCATGGAAAGCCTTTCCTGCATTGCTTCCTGAAATTGACTAGAGGCAGCATAAACATTTGACATAAGCACATAACCGCAGCTGTCACTTGGATCCAATTCAATCACACGATTTGCTGCCCTTTTAGCCATTTCAATGTTTCTATGCTTCCTACAAGATGAGACCAAAGACCCCCAAATAATGGCATCTGCTTTCATTGGCATACTTCTCATAAGCTCCTCTGCTTCTTCAAGAAGTCCAGCTCGGCCTAACACATCAACCATGCAACTATAGTGTTTTATTGAAGGTTCAATCTTATATGTCCCTCTCATTATTGAGAAATAATCCCTTGCTTTATCCACCATTCCCGAGTGGTTGCACGCGGTTAGGACACCAAGAAAACTGACACGATTCGGTATAAAATTCGAAGATTTAAGCCTTGAGAATAGCTCAATTGCTTCTTCCTCACAACCATTAATGGCTAGCCCCATGATGGTGGAGTTCCAACAGGACAACCCTTTTCTGGGGGTTGCCTCAAACACACGAATAGCTTTTTCCATGCTTCCACACTTGCAGTACATGTTTATAATTGCTGTGACAACAATGACATTCATTTCAACACCATGTTTCTGTTGAAATGTAAATTGACTAGCTAATTACTTGTTAGTTAGTAATTTACTTAGTCTGTTTTTACTCTTAGCTTCATTAAGCATTATGTTAGTTAAGTGACTTGAGCTCATATGCCAAGTCTAAGGTGTAAAGTAGTCAGTTAGTTTCCAACGGCTCTTAGGCCTTGTACTGCCATGTGTCACATTCACAATGGTAATGATTGGCTGATGTAAATGAGAGAATTAGAATAAATACAAAAGGCGTGATCTCTGCAATGGTTCTGCAGAACACACCAGAGAACATTTCCAAAATTCTGTTTTCTCCTAGCTACCTCTCTCACTCTCTCAAAAATTCTTGAGCTCTCTTGATAATCCAAATCCAAATCTCAACATGGTATCAAGAGCGAAGGTTGGATTTGGAAATAGGCGTCGGAACTGAGCTTTGAAATCCAACGTGAAATTTCAGACTCAGTTCATTGATTCATATCTCTAATGGCTGGGTCAAGTGGTGGTGATCTTCGGGCTCCAATATTCAATGGTGACAACTATGAATTTTGGAAGATCCGGATGAGAACCATCTTCAAATCACACAGACTCTGGGATTTAGTTGAAAAGGGACTTAGAATCTCATAATCGAAAGGAAAGAAGATTGAGGCAGAGGGGTCATCAGAATCAGAGAAAGAAACTCTGTTAATGAAGGATGCTAAGGCACTAGGTATTATTCAAGGGTCTGTCTCAGATCCATTAAGCTACAGGGTCTGCGTAGAGATTTTGAGTACACAAGAATGAAGGATGATGAAACCTTGTCTTTGTATCTCACTCGGTTGCTTGAGTTGGTAAATCAAATGAAGGGATATGGGGAAGACTTACCCAGAGCACGGTTGGTTCAAAAACTGCTCATAAGCTTGACTAAGGAGTTTGATCCGGTCTGCTATGTGATTGAGCAAACTAGGGACATTGAAACAGCTATTGTTTTATATACGATTCAATTGAACTAATTTAGGCATCGGAGGGCCTTTGGCCAACACCCCCCGGGTGTGGCCCTCTTATTTGTTCTATTTTGCAGGGAGAAAGACGAGGCGAAGAAGGAAGAGGAATCTTTGCAACCGAATATTCTCGTGGGGAAATTTGTACACTCAGTAGCCTTCTCTTTTCGTGGTCTTGTTCTTTCATATTCCCAACGTCTTTCCCATTTTTGTCACCTTCAAACCTGTACTAGAAATGAAAACTACAGTAAGCTTTATTTTTTCAACTTTGCACTTTTTGAACATTGAAATAAAATGGTGCCAAATCTGATTAGGGTAGTGGTTCCTTATTTCAAAAAATAACATCAACCCATATAAATGTTTTCAAACTTTCACGAACCAACAAGTTATCATATTTCGCAATGGATTTTGCACGTATGGACAACCGACTCGAGTATATTTGAATGATTGATTGGTAAGAGCATCTCCACTCACAATGGCTAAGTCTAAGGCAAGGGCAAGTAAGGGCTGCAACTATTCACATGAATAGTGTCAGCCTTTGCATTTGTGGTTCTACTCATGAGGGCAAAGTCTAGGGCAAATCTAAGGTTATTACTATTCATTGTACTTTATTTCCTATTTTTTTATACTTTAAACCATTAATTTTGATAATATTCTGTAATTAAATTTTCAGATAAGATTTTCACCCTCTAAAATTGTGTCACGTGTCCCATGTCAGATACGATTTTCAGATATTTAAAAAAAATTATAATCTTATATTTCAGATAAAATTTTCACCCTCTAAAATTGTGCAACGTGTCCAATGTTAAATAAGATTTTCAGATATTTTTAAAAAATTATAATCTCAGATTTCAGATAAGATTTTCACCCTCTAAAATTGTGCCACGTGTCCCATGTCAGATAAGATTTTCAGATATTTAAAAAAAATAAATTATAATCTCATATTTTAGATAAGATTTTCATCCTCTAAAATTGTGCCACGTGTCATCTCTATCTTCTAAATCCCTCTATAAAACTACATCATCAACTCATACCTCTCACACCATCTCTTATCTATTCCTTCATTTCTCAGATTTTAGAAAACACATTCTACTCTCAATGTCAAACTTGTTGAGGGTGTTGGAGAGGCAACAGAAACAAAGGGAAGAAATCCGACGTAGACGTGCTCAAGAAGATCAGGACGCCGATAAAGAAGAGGAAAAAATGCTTGCAGCAGTGGTTTGTATGATGGATCAATCAAGGCAACACCGTCGTCGTCATGCCCTGGGTGGACAGACGTAGAGAGTCTCGGGGTAAGAATCTCATGGAGGATTATTTTATCCCAAATTCATTATATCTTGCTTCTAAATTTCGAGAGAGATATAGAATGCAGCCACATTTGTTCCAAAAAATCATGCATGATATTTGTAATTACGACACATATTTCATTCAAAAGCATGATGTTGTTGGAGCTTTGGGTCTTATCCCGGAGCAAAAACTTACAGCTGCTTTGCGGATGCTTGCTTATGGGGCATCTGCAG